CATGCATTGATAGTTACAGACCAATTAGTCTTCTCAACATTTTTGGAAAAATTTAAAAAAATCATCTATCACTACCTCCTCAAACATTTAGACGATAACCACGTTATAATACCCCAATAATTTGGCTTCAGACACAAACACTTATATATACAGCAACTTCAAAGAGTAACAGAACACATCATTATGGAATGCAATAAAAATAAAATTACACGACTCCTACTCCTCGATCTCCAGAAAGTTCAACTCTGTATGGCACTCTGCTCTGATAATCAAACTATACGAACTAAACACTCCAGCACAACTCCTACACATCATAACCAGTTACCTTTACAACAGAAATTTTTATATCTCTCTAAAAGGAACAACCTCTATATTTAAGAATATCTCTGTCGGAATCCCACAAGGCTCCATACTTGGCCCTCTCCTCTTTATTATCTATATAAATGATCTCCCAAGTGCTCTTAACACACACAGATATATATGCAGACGACACCTGCCTCTTCATGGAGGTTCAGGCCGCATCATACATATAAAATCACATAGGCCAAATACAAAAATACTTTACGAATTGGAAACTAACCCTCCTAATAAAACTCAAGCTATCATTTTTACTATCAAGAAAAACATCATTCTAAAACCTATCACAATCGTCGGCCAAAACATTACCTGGACCTCTACACTTAAATACTTGGGAGTTATCTTAGACTCCAAAATCACCAGTAATACACAAAAGATCACAATCAGCATATCCTGTACTTCACAGAATATATCCTCTCATTTCAAAAAATAGCAAACTCAAGACCAATATTAAACTTAGCTTTAAACTTAAACATTAAACTTAACTTTACATGACCTACATTAGACCCATTATCACTTACGGACATCAAATCTGGGCTTCCGCAGCCAAATCATACATCAATAAAATCCAGAAAATCCAAAATAAATTCCTCAGAATGATATTTAATAAACTTTACGACACTCCAATTAAACAGCTACACTACATCGCCAATATACTGTAGAGATACAATTTAATGATGTTTATTATATTAAGTAATAAAGAAAACAGAAACAAAACAA